TGAGCTGTTCATTATCCACAGAGGGGTCCATAGCTTCCATGATCCAGAGCTGTACTTCTCGAATCTCAGGAGACGAGCCAGCAACAGCACGAACCGTATGCATCTGCCGCTCCCGTATGCTTGCAACATCAGGAATGTCCATCAGATCAACCTTTTGATTGTTTCCAACCTGTCTCCACTGATCTAGAGGGGTACGCTCATCAAGACCTCCCGGATCACGTGGCCCTCCTGGGCCCTGAGGTCCGTTGCGACCCCGCCGCCTGGGGATCCAGGGCCCCCCGGACTCCCTGGGGGCGGCTTCTCCGACTGGTCTCGAATGGCGCTAGCGAGTGCCGACAAAACCTCGGTACTTGGTGCGGTACTATGACCACCCCCACCCTTGTCTTGCCCTGCCCCACCGGGCGGCGCGGCCGCCAGCGCGTGACCTTTATTTCCACCAGACGGCTGGGCCGTTAGCGGTTTCGCTGGCCTGTCCTCGGTGAGAAGATGATAGTTGATGAAGGTCATGTTATCGCCGGCACCTGTCAAATCCGCGTTGATGGGCGCGCCGTTCTCGGAGGTACCAGGCTTGACCGGACCTTCGGTTACAGGGCCAGATGCTGTATTATGGGGTTGCGTGGTAGGCCTCGCGGGCGTCTTCTGCGAAAACAGAGGCATGTCGAATGGGCTGAACTTGGGCAATATCTCCAATTCTTTCTCGATATATGGAAAGGATTCCATCCCCATGGATCTCGCCATCTCTTTCGCCCTTTCGACCATGGCCGCTTCGCGGTCGGCAGATTGCAGCGAATGCTGCACGTTTTGCCCTTTCTCTTTCAAGGACTCTCTGATGATAGCTTTTAGCTCCATCACCTCTTTCTCTGATGCAACTGCGCGCGCCAGAGCCTCGTCCTTCTCGAACGTCGGCAACTGACCTTTCTGAGCTCGTTCTAATCTGCTACTCAGCTTGCTCCTTCATCCGCTGTGCGTTAAGTTTATTAGCGCTGAATTCATCAAGGAGCTTCTGCAGTTGGGCCCGAAAGTTGTGGTCAGCACTGTGTCTTTGCCATTGCCCATCCCACTCCGCCTGTTCTGCGGGCAAACTCTTTCGATGAGTGCAAGTGAAACGCCGTCTGGTGCTGGCGTTAAAGTGGTCTTTACAGATTGGCAAACCACAAGCGGCGCATTTTCCAATTTTCGGATTCGAGCATATTGAGCACCTCTCTTCATTAACCCCTCTCGCGGGCTGTGGCTGCTGCGCGGCCCGTGCTCGCAGCATCGGCGGCATTCCGCCCTCCCAGGGCGCCGAGCCAGGCTGGGCCTGCGAAAGCGTTGCGCTGGACGGCTGGGCCGCCGGCGATGGTCGTCTACTCGCCCCGGCCAGTTTCTCCCGGTGGGCACGCATCGTCGCCTAACTGCACACGCTGAAGAGATGCTCTGGCGTTTTCATGTAACTTGAGCTCTTCTCGATACTGATTATTCTGAGCAACTATCGTCGCAGCTACAATCTGGGCATTGGCCACTTCCAGCCTGGCAGCGTGAAGTTGTTCTTGGAGCTCATGTTTATCATGTTCTGCCCTGGCTGGGGCGGCCCTCTCTCCTTCTATTCTCGCCACCGCAACAGCGGCGCATGCGGTCTTGGCGTCAACAGGCTGACTGTTCGCTGCCATGGCAGCCTGTCGTTCGGATGATATCGTCTCAGCAATTATGTTCTCGGCTTCTTCTGCCGCGCGCTGCTGGGCAGCTGCGGCTTGATGGGGCATTCGTTCCATCAGCTCTTGTTCCCGCTGGCTGGCAGCTTGGGCCAGAGCGAGTCTTTCAGCCTCGAACTTCTTCCGAACGCCCTCAATAACTGCATTCATTTCTTCTCGGTCCAGTCGAGCCTGTTCGGCCCTCTGGGTTTCAAGGACCACTAATTATTGCTGGGCCTGGGCCTCAACAAATCTAGCCTGACCCTGCATAGCTTGGAGGAGAAGGCATGAGCAGTTATGTTCCTCCATCTGGAAGCAATCCCCACACAACCACTGATTGCCACAATTGGGACACACGTCAGAACAGCTTCCACACTGGGCGCTTACAGGGCCCTCCCTGTTTGCGGGCTTTCCCTGGGCATCTGCTTTCCGCCTGGGGCGGGCAGTCGGGGCCCCGGTTCCAGCATACCTCGCGCATGGATACTGCACTGTTGCTCCTCGAAGTCGATCGGGCACCAGCTCGCGGCACCTTCTTGGGCCTTCCCCTGCTCGAAGCAGACGATCGAGGACGGACGTGCGTACTCTCAGGTGGCTTGGCCACCTCTCGAAGCTCCTCATCCCTGTCGTCTTGTCGGACCAACTCATTTAGCGAAGCCGGGGGGTTGAGCATTTCATCGTCCTCAACAACTGCGGGCACCGACGGTTGCCAATCGCCTGTGGCGACAGCAGGTCGATAGAACCCTTCCTGATGCGGGGGATCATTCAAATCGTAATCTTCGTTCCTGTGCTTCTTATGTGGAGGAGCGGGCGTTCGTCCCGTGGTCCCCCGGTCATGCTTCGCATGATACTGATAACCCATGTTAACCTCGACCGCCTGGGGCGGCAGGTCACTGATCACGGTATCTGAGTCTTGCTCATCGAGCACCCTCCCAAGGGCTTCCAGGTGTTCGTAGTCAACTGTTTCCTGCCCAGGGGGTGACCTTCCGTCCGAGACGGGATGGTCTGCATCGCTCACTAACGACAAACCTCGGCTTGGTGATACTTGATAGTTAGCATATTCGATGTCTTCCTCCATGGAGTTTTCATCGTCTTCATCATCAAGCTGTTCGTCGCTATCCTGACCGGTATGTCCGTTCAAGGCTATCGGGATGGGATGAGCCCGTGAGTGTTCCCCCATCCGTCTGGGACGGCGGGGTACATACCGTCGGACTCATCTACGTCTTGCGACCCACTGGCTAGGCCAGCGGCCGGCTCGACAGATCTCATGGGAATCGGGCTGGAGTGTACTGTCTCAGAGGACTCAGCAATCCAAGATGAAAAGGCTCCTCGCCTGACATTTGTTGCTGTGCCATCCCGGCTCATCGGATCTGGGGTCTGTTCGCGATCCCTTATCGGAATGCGAGTGGGAAATCAGATGCTGACAAATCTATGACTTCTCCCTTACCCCTTCCACGAGAGATCCGAGTGGTGTTAGAAGAAGAGAGAAGGCGGCCCTTCCCCGGGCCGCTGTCCTGGTGTTCTTGCCCGTCACGTTGTACAACTTGCGATCCGACGGGCAATTCGGCTGTCTCATCATAGTTCATCATTGTTGCGACTTGGTCGCGGGCTTCGGCTGATAACCAGTCTTTCCTCTGAGAATCGGGGTAACATGCCGAAGGAATTAAGGTCTCATGTTGACTCTGCTCAGTGGTAGAGGATACGGGACGAGAAATCGATGAAACTATCATTTATCCGTTAAGCAACTACACTCAAGTATGGGAAGTGAGGAGGCCGGCCAAGGACGGACGACGACACGGGCCGCCCACGCGCCCCCCGGCGCGCTCCTTTTCTCACCCCAGCAGTAGATACACAGCTGCGGTGTACAGTGATACCAATGTCAAGGTATGGCAAGGCAGGCAACAGGAAAGGCAAGTGCATAATGAGGCGGAGAGGAGCAGATTTACTCTTTAGGCTCCTCCCCCTCAGGTTCGTTTTGGACCCCGGTCTGCCTTCAAAGTAGACAAGCTGACTCCAGATCAGAGAATTGCTGGGGACCGCTGCAAGAATAAGGCTATTTCTTTAAATCTGCCCAGCGGCATGATCGTCGTTTGTGACCTTAGCTAGGATCACCCAATTACCTACTGTGATGAAATTTCGCGCCTGACCGATGGCAATCCGTTTTTGTGGGTGTTCAAGCATCATGACCTTGGAGACTACATGTCTGAGCGTTTTTTCACAACGCGGGAGCGCATGATCCTCCACGGATACGACCCGCAATTTACCAATCTGCTGCAGCGTCCGATGATGTCCAGTGCGAATGCGATGTGCGTTCCCATGCTCGGCCTGACGATGGCGTGTTTGCACATGAGGTTCAAGCCATAATGCGTCGGCATTCCCCGCTCTCCCATCCAAGCCCGAAACCTCTGCCTCATCCTGCCTCCTCTCCCCCTCCTCCTTCCTCCCGGTCTTACCTGCCCGTCATGTGTTTCCTTTCCCTGGAGCCCACATATGCCGCCTCCCCCAAAAAAACGTTCGACTCGCTACGGTCGGTTTCACTGCTCGAGATCTGCGAAGCGTCGCGAACGCTGCGAGAAGATGCGTTGCCTTGCACCAGGACGGTGTCAAGGCTCGAGTTTTGCAAGGCATCGCGGACGCTGTGAAAAGATGCATTGCCTTGCACTGGGGGTGGGGTGACCAGAACTCGCGCAACCGCCGCCGTTGGAGTTTTTGCTGCTGCTCCCTTCCCCGACGACCACTGCGACTACGATGAATAGCACGAAAACGAGAGAACAACGAGGACAACGACGACGACGACAACCGAACCGACGACGACGATGAAGGCGAGGAGTAGACGAGGAGAGATGTTTTTGTTTGGGCACATTTCGGTCGTTCACGCAACACGCGCCAACCTGAACAAGAAAAACACAAGTCCGTGAAAACTAACAAGCAAATGCGCCCCGACATGCAACGCGCATGTTCTAAACTATTCACTGGTGCGCGCTCGTCAAAACATGCATCGCATGATCGCTATCATATGGTTAAAACAGCACAGGCAAAACAAAACAATAATTAAATGTATCATGTGTTGCGGAATTGCATTGTCCAACGGACCTCCTGGTTGGGCGCACGCCAGGCACGGTCAGCGCAAGCAGCTCTGCCCGCAGTGGGGGCGCATAGAGGGCAGCCGAGCGTCTAGCATGCACCAGTCGCGCGGGCACCTGCAGCACCGAGACTTGCTGCAACGTTCGCTGGCGTCGGGCGGGCGGAGAACTCCCAAACCCGGAGGAGACCTCGTGCTGCTGGGGCGGGCGGCCGCTGCCATGGGGCGGTCTCTCTGTCTGAGGCGCGGACTGTGTCGCCGACGCCGCGACGGCGGAACCCATCCATTGGCATTCTTGCGCCGCGGCAACTCCCTCGGGATGAGGCGGTGGGCCAGCCAGGTTCCCGCGAGCGCCATGGGCGGTTTGGAACCAGCATCAAACGGCGCGCTCGTAGCCCGTGAGCGGGATAAAGCGTAAGTCTTCACCTGCTCGACAGCAAGACTCATAACCAAAATCGCCGACGATGAGTCGGGGGGGACTGCAATCGGGCGGGAGAACACACAATCGGTCGTGGCAGGTCCGTGCCCCCTCAAAGTGCGCAAAATGTACTTCCAGCAAAGAGCTGTGAAGCAAGAACCTAGCATATTTTGGCCCGCCAATCGGGTGTTGAACAGCAAGCCACATAGTTATTGAAAGTGGTACCCAACGGGTAAATGCTCCTTGTCTCCACAGCTGGTAGGGGCTACGTAGCCAGGAAAATGCCGCCCCCCCTTCGCTCCATCACAGTATGGTCGATCTCAGCTTCCGCTGCCTCTGCCCTCATTCATCCCCTTCTGATTGTGGTGTCGCACCCATTCGCTACAACCTCTCAAGAATGCCCTCTATGTTTTTCACTCCTCGTTTCTGGAAGGGGAGGTGAAGCATTGAACGATCTCCCCTTCCCTTTCCTCTCCCTCCTCAGCCTCCTCCCACAAGCTCATCCATTCCTCTCTCCTCCCCGCTCTTCCCTTGCATGCTATCTGAAAGATCAACCGTTTTCCCACACAAACACATTCCACAAACAGAAATTGGATGACGCATGTGCCAGATTGCTCCGTTGTACTGGTGGCCCAAGTGTCGATTTCCCCTTCCCTCTCCTCTTTTTCGGTCCCTGCCTCCCCCCTCCTTCTCTCTGTATTTCTTGGCTTCGCCTTTGCACCGCCGCATTGCGTCGCATTGCGTTGAGAGTGCCGCTTCGCCGAGAGAGGTGGCGGGGGAGGAGCGCGGGGCGGGGAGTCCCCACACAAGCCGTACAGAGCAGCGCTGAAGGCCACTGGCATTCTGCGGTGCCCATGCCACAGCGCCGCAAACACGCGGCGGTACTCCAACAAACAGGTCGGCTGCGATTGCGAAAACGCGTGACAAGGGGGGGAGGGGCAGACAGCGGAGGCGAGGAGGACGAGGGGAGGGAAGGAGGAAATGGGCACGAGAGGGAAGGGAGGGAGAGCAGGGAAGGAGGGATTGGGGGAGAAGGGGGAGGGAGGTGCGAGGGGAGGGCTCGGACCCCGAGTACCTTGCCAAGCAGGTCTGAGCCACGATCTCGGCCGAACCACGGCCCTTGCGGGTCTGGCCCTCCCCCGAAGGGCCCCTGACCCATCTCCCGCAAAAAAGGACGAGGAACGTCGGGACCTCTGGGAGTAGGTGGTCTAGCGCGTTTCCGCTTCCACCCCTCCCTTTCCGCCTTCGGGGAGGAGTTGACCCATCACCCTTTCCCCCTCCCCTGGACCACCTGGAGGGGTGGGGTCGTGGGTAGTTGGGGCGTCCAAGATGGCCCAAAACTCTAGGAGGGCCTCAGAGAGCCCAAAATTAATTCCAAAACCCCGAGATAGCCCAAGATGGCTCAGCATGGTCTCCAAGATGCTCCAAGAGTCCCCTGCACCGCTCCAAGACGGCTCCGAGTGGCCACGGAGTCTCCCCAGGAGGCCGCCAAGAGGACACAATCTTTCAAACTCCTTGAGAAAATCAATGCGAGCCTTGAAGACAGCTCCAAGAGGGCCCATGAGGGCCCCAAGAAAAGCCCAAGACAGCTCCAAGACCCAAGAGCGCCCAAGAGCGCTTGAAGAGCGCCCCAAGAGGGCCCAAGAGGACCCAATAGGCGATTTCTGGGGCCCCCATAGGGGAGAGCGCGTTTCACGGGCGCTCGCCTGAACACTCGGCGGCGCGTTTGGACATGGGGGGGGCCCTCCCAACATTCGGCGCCGTCTAACAGAACCACGGGGCGCCGGCGCTAGCAGCGCCGAAAGCAGCGACGCGGCGACGATGACCAGGACGAAGACGACGACGACAAGGTCCCTCGTAGTCATCCGTCCTCGGCCACGAATGTCGGACTATCGACGGGCCCCGACTTCAGATAAGAACATGATTTCGGCCTGCGTCGCGGGACTCAAGCGCTTTCCGTCGTCGCGGTCACGCTCGTAGCCGACGGCGTCGTCGTCGTCGCCGACGTCGTCGCCGTCGCCGTCGCCGTCGTCGTCGCCGTCGTCGTCGTCGCCGTCTCCGTCGTCGTCGTCGTCGTTGACGTCGACGTCATATTCGTCGTCGTCGTCGTCGCCATCGTCGTCGTCGTCATCGCCGTCGTCGCCGTCGTCGTTGTCGTCGTCGTCACTGCCCTCGCTGTGGTCGTCGTTATCGTCGTCGTCGTGGCCGTCGTCGTCGTCGTCGTCACCATCGCCGTCGTCGTCGCCTTCGTCGTCGACGTTGTCGTCGTCGTTATCATCGCCGTCGACGTCGTCGTGCTCATCGTAGCCGTCGTCGTCGTCGTCGTCGTCGTCGTCGCGGCCGTCGTCGTCGACGTGCTGGTCGTCGTCGTTGGCGTCATCGTCGTCGCCGTCGTGGTTTCCGTCGTCGCCGTCGCCGTCGTCGTCGACGTCGTCGTCGTCGTCGACGTCGTCGTCGTCGTCCTGGTCGTCGTCACCGTCGTCGTCGTCGTCGTCGTGCTCGTCGTCGTCGTCGCCGTCGTCGCCGTCTTAGTCGTCGTCGTCGTCGTCGTCGTGAACGGCATCATCGTCGTCTTCGCCGCCGTAGTCGTCGTCGCCGTCGTGGTCGTCGCCGTCAACATTGTCATGGTCGTCCGTCGCCGTCGTCGTCGTCTTCGTCTCCGTCGTCGCCTTTGTCGCCGTCGTCGTCGTTGCCGCCCCCGTCGTCGTCGTCGTCGTCGTCGTCGCCGACGTCATCGTCGTCGTCGACGTCATCGTCGTCGCCGTCGTCGTCGCCGTCGTCGTTGCCGCCCCCGTCGTCGTCGTCGTCGTCGTCGTCGTCGTCGTCGTCGTCGTCGACGTCATCGTCGTCGCCGTCGTCGTCGCCGTCGTCGTTTGTTGTCATCGTCGTCGAGGTCGTCGCAGTCGTCGTCGTCGTCGTAATCGTGCTTGTCGTCTTCGTCGTCGTCTTCGTCGTCGTCGCCGTCGTCGTCGCCGTAGTCGTCGTCGCCGTCGTGATCGTCGTCGTTGTCGTCGTCGCCGTCGTCGTCGTCCCCGTTGTAGTCGTCAGCGTCGTCGTCGCCGTCGTCGCCGTCGTCGTCGTCGTCGCCGCCGTCGTCGTGCTCGTCGTTGTCGCCGTCGCCGCCGTCGTCGTCGTTGTCGTCGTCGACGTCGTCGCCATCGTCGTCGCCGTCGTCGTCATTGCTGGCGCCGGCGCCGGCGCTGGCCTGGTGAAGGAGGCGCGGTTCGAACCCCATTCCCGGCCCTTGAACCGTCGTCCTCGTCGACGTTCCCCGCCGCCGCCGACACCCGCCGCGGGCGCCGGCGCCGGCCCAGGAGGGGGAGGGGGGCCGGCGCCGGCGCCGGCGCAAGCCTTGGAGGGGGGGGAGGTTCGAACTTCCCCCCTCCCCCAAGCGCCCAAAGAACGCGCTCTTTCCGAGGGGGGGACGAAATTAGAGCTCCCATCTATGTTGATCGAATCTCCTCCAAGATTGCCCCAAGAGCGCTCGCAAGGCTCCCAAGAGAGCCTCAAGAGGGCCCCAAGAGGCGCCCAGCAGGCCCCAGGAGGCGCCCAAGAGGCCTCCAAGATGCTCCCAAGAGACCTCCAAGAGGCCCCAAGAGTCCTTCGAAAACCTAAAGTTTGCCTTCTCGCCTATTTGCTTACGATAGCCTTCCAGGGCCTCAAGATGGCTCCAAGATGACTTAAAGGCCCCAAGGGAGGCCGAAGAGAGCACCAAACCGGCCCCAAGAGCGCCCAAGAGTCCCACGAGCGCTCCAAGAGGGACCCTTCCTCTTTGTGCTGTCCATTTCTCTGATCGAAGCAACTCTTCTGGGCATGGTGCCGCTTCCGAGCACTGCGAATGCTAGTGCAGTGTGCGGAGGCTACGCCTTTAGGCCAGACAAATCACGGCACGGCATGGCACGGCAGAATTGTCGCGGTATGCAGACCCAGCACGACACGGCAAGGCATACTAGAGGGTGCGCTTGCAGAACAAGCACGGCACAGCTCGGCAAGGCACTGCGGGACTGTTGACAATAACCACCGCCACGAAGCAAGAGAATGGGCAACCGCACAAACCAACATCCGCACATGAAGACAGAAGGAAACACAACAAAGAGATGAACATCCAGGAAGGCAAAAGACTGAAAAAGAGTCCCAAAAATCCTGCCGATGGCTGCGTGGCGAACAAATGGCGTCTCGAGACCTCACTCCAAACCTTCAAACTATTCGATATGGATGCTGGCTTTGCCAACGTTGACCCAACATGTTTTCCACCACATACGACTTGATCTGTGCGTTTGATCCTAGATACCACATGCCGGCTAACGCCTTCTGTTCTAATGGCAGAGGGAACGGCAAGCATGCAACGCGGTCTGCAATCATATCCGACATCCCCGATGTGCGAGACGGAGACTGCTTTGATTTGCCGCACCTTCTCCTGAGCAGGAAGTTGGAGGGAGAAACATACGAGGGATGATGAAGAAAGTGAAGCTGAAGATGTAGGAAGGGTTTTATGAACTAACAACTAACGAAGGATGCGGCATGATTTGGGATCAATGGAAATCAAAGAAGATACCGACCTTTCCGCCGTCCAACCACAGGTCCTGCATCCGGTGTGGTCAAATCTTGGTAAAACAACCTGGCCAATATTAAGGCAGGCATGGAAACGAATGTACACAAGCAACGTCTTTGTGGTCGCTTCAGCCTGGACTCTGCCAGAGCTCTGACATGATCATGCCACCAGAGAGTGGCGAAACGTCCTACGTTATCGGACTCGCATCGTCTCCCCTCACACAGAGGCAGACGCATACGACGCATTGGCCTCTCGGTCCGGTAAAATGGTGAATTCGGTATAATACATGTGAAAGCGGGCGCTGACAGTGTGAATTTGGTATTGCACTTGATCCACCGTGAAGACGCTGCCGAGCAACAGGCGGAAGGCACCACACAGGATAACACATAAGTAACGTGCAGGGCTAG